AGTTTGTTTTTTAAAGAATTGATTAACTAAAATATGTATAACACACGCACGCACGCATGCACACATATATATATATATATATAAAATTATTCTTACAGGATTCAACAAGATTCATGTGATACAGATGATTTAACTGGATTTGGTAGTACAGAAAATGAATCTGGCTATTCTTCAAAAATGGAAGCTGATTATTTTGGAGATTTAAAAGAGAGCTTTACCAAGGAAAAGATTAACACTTCTGCCGAAAAAAATGAGCAATCTTGTTTGGATCAATTTTGCTTGTTTAGGAGAAAAAAAAGGCCTTCTGTTTATGGCGAGGATAAGTTTAACAAGTTATCAGATGAAATAATTTTGATGATATTGAAATGGTTACCTAAGAAATGTTTGGTAAGAATTGTAACAGTATTAAATATAATTTAATAAATTATGTATATGTCTCAATTGTATATATAAATTATTTCGTGTGCAGATACGCTCCATGCTGGTATGCAAACGTTGGTGCCAAATAGCTCAAGATGAAGCATTATGGACTAGATTAGATATGGGTAGTAAAGTTTTAAATGAAGGCACATTAGGACATATATTGCCGCGAGGAGTTCAAATTTTAAGACTGGCACAGGCGGAAATTGCGGATCCTGTCTTTTGTGAAGGCAGCCAAGTCCTTAGCGATTCTTATATCACTAAATTACAGTACTTGGATTTATCTATGGCAGTAATATCACCAATGGGTTTGGCTATCTTATTATCCAAATGTAAATGTCTGAAAAAATTATCACTGGAAAAATGTATAATAAATAGAGATTGCTGTAGAGCGATTAGACAAAACACTGAATTAGAAGTTTTGAATTTAACAATGTGCGAGAATATAAACATCGGATGTATTATGGATTTAATGGAACTTAAATGGTAAAATTATTAATCTATCTCTATATGTAATAAATGTTCACGCAGTTTCTAATTTTAATATGATCGGATTGTTTCAGCTTAACTGCCCTCAACATAGCATGGTGTTCTTTAGATAACGAGTGTATAACGTTACTTTGCAGAACATTGCCAAGATCCATTACCCGCTTGAATTTAGCGGGTTGTAGAAAGACAATGACTGATGAGAGTAAGTATAATAATTGGGATTTTTATTATTTATTGACTTTAACATTTAACTTAAACATTTTTTTCTAAATTTCAGACGTAAAGGACTTGTTAAGAAGATGTCCGGATATTATAGAATTAGACCTGAGTGATTGCGCTATGCTTACAATGCATACCGTCCATAATTTATTAAACTTTTCGAAGCTCGAGCACTTATCACTGAGCCGTTGTTACAGCATCCCGCAATCGGCATATATAAGATTAGCTACTATGCCGTGTTTATTATATTTAGATGTTTTCGGCCTAATGACGGAATCAGTGCTTAAATCATTACAAGCTACTTGCCGTGAACCCGAAATTAACAAGTACCTATATAGTTCAGTAGCGAGGCCAACAGTCGGTATTCGAAGAACCAGTATTTGGGGTCTTCGAGTTAGAGATTAAATTTAATATGTAGGCAATTCATCAATTTACAAGAGATTTCGATAGATCGAGGGATGGATTTGACCAAAGGGTAACTCTGATCTATATATATAATGTTGCATCTTTCTACTCAGACTGAATATTGTACTGAAAAAGTTAAATTTAATTTGAAGAAATGAAATGTAGATGTTTAAGATAATAGTATAGTTCTTCCAAAGTTTAATATTGAATTGTTGCTCAGATATAGAATTATAGTAGAATATCTCAGACTTATCGTTAATGGCAGTTTCCCCGAGATTATTTTGACATAAAAATTCCAATACTAAAATGTATGTAATATATTTTAAATAAAAAATGTTTGTACGCGCACAATAGTGAAAATGTTTTCAAGCATCATTGATATAATTCTGTATATATCTTCACTGTTATGTGATGTCATATTTGAGCGAAAAAAATTTTAAAAATTTGATCGTTCAACTTTAAACACTTTAATTAAAAATTATTGTTGAAAATGATCAGGAATCTGCCATTAACGGGTATTATAGTAGTCTGCAACACTTATATACATACTATTCCTATATGGAGCATTTGCTGATATTTAACATATTAAGTTATTTCGGCTGTGTGACCGTTTTACTATTTTACAACTTTCTGATCATGGTATATATATTGAATTTTGTCAAGGACTTATTTTGCTATACATATACTAATTTTTAATAGTAAAGATCTCAAAAAAATAATGTAATGATGGCCAGGTATATACATATTCATATATTATTTACAACAAAAAGAAGTCATAAAATGTAAAAGCTCAAATTTACTTTGTATTTGTGATAAAAAATAACTGCCTACTATTAGTAAATAATTATACAAATTAATCAATTTGTTGTGCATACAATAAAATTGCTTAAACTGAAAATTGGTTTTTTTTTATGTTGAATATATATTTGTCATTGTCATATTGTCATATTGATATGCAGTTAAAATATTTTTAATTTAAATTTATATAATTTTTTAGTATTCTTATATTAAGCAGTAACTTTAGTTAATTATTTGAATAAATATTAGTATACGTTTAATTAAAATTGCAACAATTATGTATGTATTTAGACATATATTGTATTTAAATATTTGTATATGAATGATTTTGTGTGTTTTGCGTAATAGTCATGATTTTATTCGTGTTAGAATAATTAGCGGAAAAGAATTTATATATAAATAAAACTTTTGAAATTGAAAGTTTATTCGAAGTTTTACGTTATTTCCTATCTCGCGTCAGATTCTTCTACTGATTTTTAAAAAATTTTCATTTTTTCCGAATTGAATTTATTACTTAAAATTTAGAGATTTACTCAAAATCATAATTCTTAGAATTAAAAAAAAATTTAATAATATTAATATAATCATAAATTTATATAATAATTTATGTTAATAAAAAAGGCTGATAAGAAGAAAGAGAAAAGAGTTGAACTGGTTTTTTGCTAATGTGCATCACAAATTAATGAATATATTAATGATAAATTAATAATAAAATTATACAGACGCGCGTTTCGTCTTTTAATACGATCATCTTTAACGCCAATCGAATCAAATAATAAAAACTAAACCTAATACAGCAATTAAAATATTGGATTTCGATCAAAAAATTAAAAGTCATACGCATATTACACACATACACACACGCACACACACGCACGCGCGCGCGCGCGCGCACACACACACACACACACACTGTATTGATGATTTCTTCAAACTGTTGGCCTGATAATAAAAATTGTGATACAATGCACGCATTACGGTTTTAACATTAATTATCCAAATATAACAAGTAGTTGTTTTTTTTTTAAATTTAGGAAAATATATTATATATTCGTAAACCTATATTTTTCAATGAAAGTATATATTATAATTTAATATAACTATTAGCTATATTCAATTAACAATTGTATAATTTCGATTCTTTGATCTTGAAAGATTTTAATAGTCAAACTTTGAAACTTCAAAGTTCAAATGTTGAAGCCTTCGCTATAAACAAATCATTAGCTCTAATAAAAAGAGTGTTGCATATATTAACAAAGAATGAATAAATCTCTGGAAGTATGCCCCAAAAATTGTGCTGAGATGTCAGACAACAACAATTATTAAATATGCTAGATGAGAAATATCGTCAAATAAAGGATTTTTTAATATTTTCATTTTTAAATGATTTGAATTTATTATTTATTTAAAATTTTTATATTGTAACTCTCGAAATTTTAGTTAATGTTACCTTTTATCTGATTATATTTTTCTTTGATGATTTTTAAATTTGTATATTTTTATGATTTACAAATATTGATAATTATGTATGGCCGATAAAATCAGTATTACTTTTATCGATCGTAAATAATTATCAATATTTTATCAAAAAAATTCCTAGAAAATTTAAATTCAAAAATGAACAAATAAATTCGAGAGAAGATTTTTAGGTAAGAGATTACAAAAATTCGAAGATTTAGTTCTAAAAATCTCTCTCGAAAAATAACGAAGTACTCAAACGTCAAACGGCCTCTTTCGCGTGTTCTCCAAATATTAGAAAATTAAAGTTAGCCTTAGCCTCTCCATTGAAAGAAATTCAAGAAGAAGGGAAAGAAAAAGAAGACACGTGTCTTCCTTTAGAGTCCCTATACTAAGGGACTCGTAGTCTTCCAATCGTTTCTTATTCCGATCAGTTTCCTCTTTGTTCGCATGCGCGATAATCCTAGTAACTTTCCACGCCTCCTCCTAAGCATACCACAGACGGAGTTTCGCATGCGCTTCATTCCAAAAAAAAACCATCAGCCATATTGGTGTGTTGTATCGCTGTCCTCAGTAATTTCGAAGATCAGCAAAGGTATTTTTCCCGTAGGCCCATCGCCGTGCTCTACGTCGCGGTCGTGCGGGATCGGGCCGACTGTTTTCCCCGTCGCCGCGCCGTCCCTTTCGCGATTCGTCGCGCATGCAAATCACCCCGATGTTCGCCAGCAAAAAAAGTTTGGTTAATGTTGCCACCTCGGCTCGCGGAGTAACCACCTCCGCTTTATGAGAGTACATCACATATGAAATACGCGGCTATCTCATGATAACGTGCGTCCGTGACGCTCGACGCTGTCACCGTTGGCTGTGTCGCGACGCCAAAGACGCGAGTCCCCCGGGGGGATGCGATTAACGAGACTCGCGCTGCTGCTCTGTTGTGTGCCACCCTCCACGTTCGTTTCTTTTCGAACTTATGTCGCTCTGCGTGTCACGTTCGTCGAGATACGCGCGCGCGATCGCCGATGGCGATCCGGTACACCTTTGAGCAACAGGTACAGCCTGTCGGCTTGTACATCTTCCTGCGCGAATCGTTGCGTTAGATTTTTTTGTATCGTACGCATCACACGTCCGCATTCAAGTTGTAACAGATGACGGATTTCCCGCCGCGACGAGGAGCAAATTTTTTCATCTACCTGCTATTCCTTGCTGGAAGTTGCGTTATCCTGTTGCCTTTCAATTTACTAATTTTCATATAGTTCGGCAAACATTTGTTTTGCGAATATCATTCAGCATTTGAAAACACCTCGGAACTGTCACATTACACATTCTGATTTCCTGTGTATTCAAGATTTTTGTAAGATGCTTTCTAAGACTTATCTTTATAGCATAACATGTTATGTTCTTTTATATTATATTGTGCTTTTTTGTTATAAACTGTAGATTTCATTTGTCTTGGTTTCCTTTTTTTTAGGAGATAGTGCATCATGACTGATTCCATGAAATTTGGTCCAGAGTGGTATGTGATTTGTGTCACTGGTGAAACATTAGAACATTTAGTTATATTTAGAATTGTATTTAATATATTTATTGTATATAGGTTACGCAAGGTTTCGTCAGGAGACAGTTGCAATACTGGTAGTGGTGGTGGAGGGACAACAACCCTAAGTACACCTCGTTATCAGTTAGCAGAGCATAGATATGGCCGGGAAGAGATGCTGGCCTTGTTCGATCGCAACTGTAAACCTTCGGAGCCATTGACAACTTTTCCACTGTATGTGGAGAAAACTCAACTTCCATTGGCTCTCACAACCATGACAGATGATGAAACGGTAACTAATCACATAAAAAGTGTATGTAATAATACTATAATACTTTGTTCTTTGATGGTTTTGTTCATGTGAATTTAATTTATCTAATTTAATTTATTTTTGCTAATAAGAAAATACTATGAAATTGTAATATTGTATTCTATTGTATTCTTATTTCATCTTATATTAAAGATTATCTAAAAATTAACAATTCCAGTTTTCTTGCAATAGTTTTTACAGAGTTACCATAAAATTGGGAAATAAGGATTTATCAAGGAAATTGAAAACGATCAATCAGGGAATTTTGCAAAATTTTTTTGAAAATAATTCTTGGCTTTAAAGAAGTTTAATGTATTTTCATCACACCGATACAGTTTTGGGATATTTCCAACTTGAAAATTAAAAATGCAAGTGTGTTAGTAGCATTAATAGTAATTTATATTTCTATGTTAAATTGATCTCAACAAAATATAAAACGATTTCCAATCTAGATGAAAATACAAAAAAACTTCAAAATTTTATTAAATGTTAGGGAAATTATGAAATTTGTAAAAATCACAAGGAAATGTTAATGGAATTTTAGGATGAGAAATTTGTGAATACACTCGTATATTTCTATCAAAAGTATTTGTTTGCATTTTGATGGTAATATTAAAATAAATTATAATTAAGTTTTTTGATATTTTTTTAATTTCTTCTTATTGTTACAATGTATTATATTAAATATTTATTTTTAATTGTGAGAACATTAAGAAGCATTAATCCAAAATAAATTGAATAAACGATTTCTTTTTACGACAGAAATAATGTTCTTGATTGTAATTTTGAAGTTTTGAAATTTTTCGCTTTTTTAAATACTTTTTAACAATATTATGAAACAAATGTATTTTTTCGAATAATTTTTTATATGACTGCTTTGTTGAGGATTATTATTATAAAATTATGTTACAATTGGAATAAGTTATTTTGTGAAATATCCCTTGTA